TGGTGAGTCATATGCATGACTCATATGCATTGACTTCCTCTTCACTCCCACAGTTGAGCTGCACCTTCCTTTCCCATTTCCAGTGATTCCTGTTTCTTTACCAGCCTTATACGTCTGGGAAACATCACCAAGCAGTTTACCCAAAATCCTTCTATCGCCCTCTCTCTGTCTCATGTAATTAGTGTGCCCTGGCCATCCACAAAGTGGAGCCGGACTAGGTTACCCAAAATGCTTCAACTATATATAAATTTTTGGAGGAACTAAGGACTCATGACAAGAACACCTAGTTCCAGTTGTGAGTAGGGGGCTAATTAGCACATGGATCCTTTGTGAGTGGATATCTGGAGTACACAAACATACTGAGCAGTACTAAGGTATGGGGTCACCACGGCTTGAAATTCTGTTGACACTGCTGGAGCCCCAGCCCAGTGAACAATACGGTAAATCATGAGCCTTTTGGCTTTGGATTAATATCAAGCATAGTTTGTGCTATATATATGTGAAGGTGCTCAAGTGCTGCTTAAAAGTGTGTTGATGGAGTACCTGTGCTAAAACTTGCAACAGTTTCAAAAAAGGTAGCATGCATCAGTTCTGGATAAGCTAAGTCTATGAGTACTGTATGCAAATTACTACAGCTGTGTTTAATTTCAAGGTATAGTGTTTTCAAGTTTGCTCCTCACTACCATGTACTCACAGAGAGTAGAGTCTGACAGAAAGAAGAGGGGGCAGGGGCTGCAGGGGGAAGAAGCTGGGGGAGGCAGCGGGGAAGGTGGCTAACTTACACTCCAGATTTATTTTCCCTCCTGTGTCAATGGGAGGGGGATAAATTCAAGGCAAACCTCCAATAATTATATCATACACCTCCAAAAATTATAACTAACTAGTCATTTGCCCATCAAGAATGATGGGCAGGGAGCGGGTGGAGACAGAGCACTGTGTTCCCCACACTGTCTGGGCCTGCTCCCTCCTTCCCTCCTGCCGCTTGGGTTCCGGGCCTACTCCCCCCTTCCCTGCTGTGGCAGTGGGGGAAGGGGAGGAGTGGGTTCAGGCCTGATGCTGGGGTGTGGGGGGGACTGGGCCCAAGGTTCAGGAGAAGTCAGCCTACTGCAGCGGGGGGAGCAGCGGGCCCAGGCCAATGTGGCAGTGATGGGGGACAGGATGAGCAGGCTTGAGGCCAATATGCAGGGGGGGAAGGAGTGGGCCTGGGCCCAAGGTGGGGAGGAGGCCCACTTTTCCCCTCCCCCTGTTGCTGCCTCATTGGGCCAGGCCCAGTGCACCCCTTTGGCCATGGCAGGTCCACTCCACACCCCCCTCGGGCCCGTTCCCCCACATTTGCATTGGGCCCAGGTCCGCTCCTCTCCTCCCGCCCACTGCCTCTTTCCACCACCCACACTATGGTGTGCCTGCTTCTCCCCTCCCTGTGTCGGGCCTGCTCCTCCCCCTATCGCTGCCGTGTTGGCCCTGCAGGTGGTGATGACAGAAGGGGGGAGGGGCGGCCCAAGGCCAGTGCCAATGGCCTTGCCCCCCCTCCGTGGTGTCCTGACCCTGCTATCTCCCCACACTGCCGCCAAAACCTCCAAGGAGCAAGGAGGGGGGGCAAGGCCAGCTCCAGTGTCCTCTTTCCCCCCACCACTCCATCATCGTCACCCCCAGGGAACAGGGTGGGGTGGTGAGGCCAGCTGTGCTGGCCTCGCTCCACCCCACTCCATGCCCACCATCATGGCAGCGCTTTCCCACCCTGCCACCTCCTGTCCCAGTGCTGTATTCACACTCTGATTGGTTGTTTCAGTCAGCCAATCACAGTGCAAACAAAGCATTATGGACAGACAGACAGACATATAAAGGCTTTTATCCTATTGGAATTTATATGTTTTCCATATATAAAATCTAAATATGGTACAAGAAAACTCTACTGAGCATTTTCTTAATGTCATGAGGATAAAAGAAGCATAGAAAGGAAGCTGTTGTATGGCCACTTCATTTCTACAATTAAAGGCTAGACCTTTATGATGTGACATATCTCAAAAGACTCAAAATATGTGGGACTTTATATTTAGCCTTAAACATATAGTATTATTTATCATGAACTATTGCACATAATTAAGGCAGGATCTTTCAAATGCAATTAATGCTACCTATTTAAAGTTAAATAGGCAGTTTGAACTACAGCAAAATGTATGAACTTTTCATAGCCACTTTGTGCTCTACAAAAACAATTTGTAAAACCCCTGGGTAATGCTGGCTGGTAGCATTCTGTGTGAAACACATGTCTGAAATAACTTGTTGCTGCCACCCCCAGCTTTCCCACTGTCTCTCCTCTGGCTCTTTGACATTTATTTCAGGTTGTGGTTATTGGTCCAGAGCCCAGTTCAGAGCATGGGGTCAGAGCTGTGGCTACAGTGTGGGGCTGAGGTCACAAACCACATTGGCCCTGTGTGTAGTATCAAATTCACAGACTGGACCTGGACCATGGACTGTCCCCACACCAGTCCTCTGGTCCATAGGGTCAAAAGATTGGGGACGGCTGTGTTAGTGCTTAGACTAGTTTCTGTTATGTGCTGTGTTCTTTCTTATCCTTTCCCCATGGGGAGAAGTGCTTTCAGTGGAGTGTCTTGTTTTGAGAAGGTGCATTAGTGGGAGTTTGTGTTGCTGCAGAGACAAACTGGCATTCTGCACTAGCTGGACATCCCTCTATCACACTTCTCTAGTCTAACCAAGAGGTGATGAAGGCAGGAACAATTGTGGCCAGATTATTATCCACCAAAATGGCATGTGATCTCTTAGGGAGAAATTACACATTAGAGTTAGCAGGTGCTAGTTGTAAAGAATATTAGTTTGTTTTAAGGTAAGTATGTGCTAGTGGTCAGTGGCACATTAAGGTTTAATACCATCTCTAACATGCATTGCTCAGACCTGTTACTAGAGGGCTGGAGAACAGAGCTGTGGCTAGGGCTGTACGTCTGTTGCATGCCTGCCTTGCTTGCCTCTAGGGGCATGTCCAGATGAGTGTGGCCATGCAGTATGTGGTGTGGCAAACACATCTGCAGCACCACATACTGCACAGTCAGTTGTTCTCTGCGCTGCAGAGGCATACTGCTCATGCATTCGCTGCTCGGATTTTTTTTTCCGTATGTTTTTTTTGACCCCTGCATATCCAGGGGTCAAAAAAACCCACAGGGGAAAAAAAAAAAAGATCAGTGCATACACAGGCAGTGCACACAGCTGAAATGCGCAGCTGGGCTGCCTGGAGCCATGATCCATCTTCTGACCAGGCTCCACATGGCAGGATCGCCACAGCTGCAGCCCTGGAAGGCCCCCAAGACCCCAGGTAAGGCTGCTGGGGCCAGCACAGTACTGGCCTCAGCCTCCCCTACCACTCCGGGGTAATTTGCTGTGTTCCAAAGCAAGCTTTCCCCAGGGACAAGTGGCTGCGGTGCAAGGTGCACCACTGCTACTTGTCCCCAGGGAACCAAATGTCTGTGCTCTTCTGGATGTGGCTTAGGAGTCTTAAAGTTACGCCATTTTGGGCAAGAATTATCTTTGAGCTGTGCTACCTAGCTCAAGTTAAGTTAACTTCTGGCTGTTTTCTTTTGAGAGAAAACCACAGATTTGTGATCTTCCAGTATCTTTGTGGGACTCCACATCTGATGATTCAGTGGAGCCTCTGTTATTGGTGCAAAATTCCAGGAAGAATTAAGACCATTTTAATGCATCACATTGGATGCCTGTCACTTCCTTCAGGTCAGACACTAAAGTAGTTTGACTTCCCCATCATTGTCTGAATACATCTGGAGCCAGGTCCAGCATATTAACTTCAGTTAGATGAGCTTGTATCTGACTTTTGGATTGATTATGAGCTTGCTCAAGAATAAGCGTCTTGCTACAGGGTGTAGTGGACTACAAAACCAGTTACTGGGGAGTAACTAATTGATGAAAGACTGGAAGGAAGAGATCAATCTAAGACTAATAAGTGGCTCTAAGGATTCAATGGTATAACAAAGATATTGTAGTAAATAGAAATGAATTTCAAAGAAGCAACCATAGCAAACTTCAGGTTTCAAGCATTGAATTCCTTTCTTAAAAATGATGCATACATTTAATGGAAGTTGCACCTGGGGAGTTTGTGTTAGTACAGATTATTTTCCTTTAGTATCCATTTGCCTTTAATATTTTTTTTTCATTTCATTTCATTATAATTTGTCTTGTTTTTTATTGTAAGCAGCCCTGAATCTTTTTTGGGAGGATAGTGTGGAAATCTAATAAATGTTTATCTTAAGGACTTTGGCATTCAAATATTGTACAATAAAAGATGATTTCACAAACAAAGGGCAAAATAATTAACCAAAGTACTTGTTGTCTGAGTTCAGGTCTCACCATTTATTTTTAAATTCTCAGGAATGTGAATAGATAGGTGTTGTTTCAGTCAATGAAGGAGAAAAGAACATGACGAGCAGAGGATTTGCTTTGTTTTCTTCATTGTTTCTAGAGTCAATAAAAAGTTTATAGTCTCTTTGTAATAAGATGGTAGACTGGGATCTGTTCTGTTTGTTCTAAACTCTTCTGATTCTCTGAGAAGAGCCCCATTGAACAATTGTGCTGTAATTTTCTGTGACCACTATGGAATATTTTACCAGGGGATCCTTTGCATCTCCATATATACCTTAGGTGGTACCCCTTCTTCTTGCTTTTCAGTCTCACTTTAAAGCATTAGTTGGTGCAAGTGGCGAAGCTAGGTCTCAAATTACTAAATATGCACATGGATATTTCTTTGCATCTGAAAAATAAGAAACCATATATAAAAGTTTTCCAAAATTACTATAGGTACCCGTTAACTTGTATCCTTAACAGAAGCAGTGTAGACTCTTTACAGTCTTCTATTCTAGTGGTTATTGGGTAGACAGAGCCATGGGGGATGGTTTATTGACAGAGAAAAGAGGTTCTTGTATCTCTTACAGGTTTAGCACATAATTTCAATAACAGATATTGGATTTTCATTTCAGGCTCAGCAATTGGTTCTAACTTCCAAGCATTCAGTATCTGAAATACCGGAAGCTGTGGATGACTTCCTTTGCAATTTCCTAATCAGAATGGGGATGGCTAGAACCCTTGACTGCTTCCAAACTGAAAGGTAACATTTTTTAAATGTCCATCTTTCTTTGATGTCCCTAAACCAGTCAGCTGCTCCTGCATGTATTAGTTAGAGGGCAATCCTTGGAAAATTTTGACTATTTGCCTTACCTGGGTAGCCACCTTCCGTAAAAAGTAAACATAGACTATAATATTCATCATTGGATAAAATCTTCCAGTGTTGCCTTTGGACATCTCTGAAATTATGTCTTTGTTGATCGTGACATCAGAACCCAAATCAAACTTCTTGTCTATCAGGCTGGTTTCTGTTGTATGGTTGTGAAACTTGGCTGACATATCCAAAGCATTTGTAAGCTTAGGAACATTACCACCCCTATCAGCAGTGTCAAGGGGTGCACTGATAAAGATTTTTTTGTCCAATATCAGTGTCTGATTATTAACCAGTCATATCAGCCCATACCTATCCAATAGCCAATAAGTAGCCCAGGAGCTTGGAGAGCAGTGTCTGGCCCATCAGTCTGTGGAGTGGAAGGGGCATGGGACAGGGAAGGAAAGAGCGTGGGGGGGGCAGATCGAGGCTTCCATGGTGAGGGAGGGAGTGGGGCAGGGGCAGGCAGTACCCAGCATGGAGCAGGGCATGGGATGGAGCTGCAGACATCTTCTCTGGGGGACGTGGGGAAGGTGGGCAGCCCCCACCATTGTGTGCATCTACTAGGGAGGCATGGGGGGTATGTGGCTCCTGGATTTGTGCACAGAGCAAGGACAAGCTGCCTGCTGCAGGCTGTGGGCTGCGCCAGCCTTTTCCTCATGGGGGGGGTGGGTTCTGGGCTGGCGCTGCACTCAGGGTGGGCAGTGGTGCTGAAAGGGTGGGTTGGGCT